CCCCTTCTCCCCCCGCGCCACTGGGGAGAGCGGGCGGGCGGGCAGACTGGAGTCGGTCCGAGTTGGCCGAAGCTGTTGCCATGACAAGCGTTTTCTTAAGAAAGCTCCGCCGTTGAGACCAGCCGAGCTGGGGCGCGAGGGGGAAGGCGCGAACTTCCTGGGGAACCATCCTTCCGAGGAGAGCAGGACCGGAGGCACCCGCCCAGCTCCCCCGCAGCATTTGCTTCCAGGAACCTGAGGTCCTTCCCGGCGGGAGGGCCGGCGGAGGAGACCGGCCCGCTCCCGGGCAGCTGCAAAAAAAATTTTTTAAAAAGGCTAGGGAGCAAGCCGGCATCTCTAGCGTGGCTGCTCATTGGGGAGACCAGTGGTCACCCCCGCCCTACCCTGTCCATGGAACCCCGGAGGGAGAGTGCTGCTTGCAGAAGCCTGGATCTTTGCTAGAAAGAAAGCGAGGTAAGGCTTGCAGAGAATGAATTGACTCGCGATGTGCAAACTTTGTTTCTTTCCTCTCGCTGGCTTCTAAAACTCCCTGAATTTCCTGTTCCCGGCATATTTCTTGCTACTGGGTTTGGGCTCTGTGTGTGTGTGTGTGTGTGTGTGTGTGTGTGTGTACGCGCGCGCGCACAGATTTGTCAAATACTGTATTTCCTTCCTAGACTCAGTTCTGAGAAATCGTATAATCAAACAAGTGACTTATTTTTGTTTTCCTAGTGTTTGTCATTCCTGGGCCGTGGGGGTAGGGAAATGGAGAGATTGTCCTTTTCACACCCAAATGGAGCTTTTGGAAAAAACAGTTCATTGCCCCCATCTGCTCCTGCCCTCCCCCTCCCGCTCCCCCTGGGCTTGGGAATGAGCCGCTGAATGGAAAACTTGCAAAAATATTTTCCGCGTCTGTTCCCTTTCTCGAAAGCCCCAAAGAGAGATGGAAAAAAAAAAAAAAGGAAAAAAGAACGGAGTAAGAAATCTGCAACGAGAAGGAGGGGCTGCGGTGGGGACTGGGAGATGGGCGCACTGGAGGGGACGCGGGGAGGTAGCTGGGAGAAGTGGGGTGAGGAAGGGGTGCCCAAATGGAATTTCTTCGGCTTTGTGGAGAAACCTCAGCAGTTTCTCTCTGCCACTTGCAAAACATCCTCAGACTTTCACGTCTATAATTAGCTGTGGAAAAGCTGAGAGTTCCCTGCGCCCTGTTGTTTGACTGTGTGCGAAGAGTCAAGAACCAACTGTGTGAGTGTCTCCGAGGGCAACGCCCCGTGCAGCTCTGGTCCCAGAGGGAAGAAAGGGGAGGAGGTGGCGTTGGAAAGTTTGCAATTTCCAGGCTGGTGCAGGGGGGCTGGTGGGCGCTCCGCGGTGGGGGGCTGGTCGTAGGCGTCCCGGGGAGGAGCGTCCCCGAGTGTCTTGGGGCTGAAGAGGGAGACATTCAGGCTGGATTGTCCCGCCCGCCCTCCCTTCTCACACGCTCACTCACATTCCTGGCTGGCTCTTGGGGTGGAGGAGGCTGACTGGCATCCTCCCCGGAGTCAGTGCAGCCTCGCACTCCTCCATCTCTTTGAAGGACCCAGCGCGCTCCTCCCCGGCTGCCATTTATACACCTATCGCGACGTCGGCGCCGGTTGGCCTGGTTGGGGGGGATGTCAGATGAAGAAATTCACTGGCCCGCAACTGACGCCGCTGGGGGAGGGGAAGCGAAATCCATTCTGCTGCGCCACCTCCGCCTCTGGGTGGAGATCCTCTGCTGTTTTCTTATTTCTTATTTTTTATTTCACCCACCGCTCTTAGGGTCCTCCCTTCCCTCCTTGAGCCCCTCCCTAAGCTGCCCCTTCTGGTCTTCCTACGTGGAGGTGCCCCTCCAGCGCCCCCTGAGCTCCCAGCCCTCTTTGCCTGGAAGAAGGGAAGAGATGAGGGTCTTCGTTGGCCGCCGGGACTGGCCCTGGGGCGGGGCGGTGGAGAGGGGCCTCGGGTCGGGAGGGACTGGGTGGGGAAGGTATGGGGGGAGGAGGCAGGAAGAGGCGGTGGCTCTGAGGGCTAGGGAGCCAGGCTCCCTCCTTGGCTGGATGTGAAGCCCCCACACGTGTGGGGGTCAGGCAGGGGGAGAGGAAGCAGATGCCCACCGCCCCAGCTAGTTTGGCTGGAGGAGTGTTAGCTAAATCGAGCTCAGAAACTGGAGAGGAGGGGCTGGGAGGAGAGCTTAAATGGGGCCCAGGAAACAATAGGAACCAGTTTTCATTTTGAGGTGTTGGATGGTTGACCTGACTGCCCCCCAAAGCTGAACAGCTCTTCCCTCCCTCCCTGTATTCTGATCCAGACGGGAATGAGGGCTTCCCCAAGGTAGGATCCAGCCCTTGTCCTGCAGGAAGAGGGTGGGGGTCCATGTCTTCGCTCCTGCACGGGAGCCCTATCTCCCTGCCACCATCTTGCCAGGGTACACCCCCTAAATCATGACGCTCCCCACCCCCACGCCTTCCCTCTTGGCGCATAATCCCACCATTCCTGCAGCCCACCTTCGTATTTTCAGTTCTCTGACTAGGGGTGGATTCTGGTAGGTTCTAGGGGGAGGGGTCTCTATTTAGCGTGCTCTGAGGACCCTGCTCCCGCGGCCTTGAGCAGTGGGTCTGGGGCTGCAGGGCGGGATCCTGTTCGTCCCGAACCTGCTGCCCCTCCCTGGCGGCTCTGCGCGGGTGCCCGCCTGCACCGCTGCCGGCTCCCCGCGCGCCTCGGCTCCACCCCCGGCTCTGCCTGGATCCGAGTTCTCGGTGTAGAAGGTGCTCCGAGCCGCCGACGAGGGAGCCTCAGTCCTTTCCCCTTACAGTGTCCACCTCCGTGTCCCAGGCTAAATTCAAGGTCAAGTTCAAGGAGCACAGCTCCCTTAGCCTCTGGGACTCCCCGCACCTAGCACAGTGCCCAAGCGTAAAACAGCGCTTGGTCAATGTTTGTTGGAAGAAGCAAGTAGCATTTGGGGGGAACCTGGGAATCAAACTCACCCAGGCAGATGCTCCCACAGTAACAGTGGGAGGACTTGGCTGAGTCAGATTAGTCGGATTTCTATGGTCTTTGGTGTCAAAAGAAAGTCAACATGGGAGGGCCAACGTAGAGCAGTTAAGAGTTTCCCCTTGGTGTGCGTGCTGGGAGAAGTGTGCTGGTGTGGTGGGAGGTGAAGTCCCTAAGCACGGGTATTGGGGAGCCTTAGTGTTCCCCACTCTCACACCCTGGAGGGTCTGGAGAGGAAAGGCCTGGGCTGACCCAGCACTGAGCCAGCTGCCACCTGTCAGCAATTCAAGCATTCCACCGCAAACTGCCTCCTACTTGAGAACTTAGCTTCTCTCAGTAACCTCCAGGGGCCCTTTTCTTGTTTATTCTATGCTGCTGGCCGTGACCAGCACCCAAAGACATGGATAAGCCTGTCCATCGAGGGCAGCAGTTCTCAACCTGTGAGTCGCGACCCCTTTGGGGGTCGAATGACCCTTTCACAGGGGTCGCCTAAGACCATCGGAAAAACACATATATAATTACATATTGTTTTTGTGATTAATCACTATGCTTTAATTATGTTCAATTTGTAACAATGAAAATACATCCTGCATATCAGATATTTACATGACGATTCATAACAGTAACCATCACCGATTTATGAAGTAGCAACGAAAATAATTTTATGGTTGGGTCACAACATGAGGAACTGTATTTAAAGGGCCAGAAGGTTGAGAACCACTGGCCTATATGATGTAATATTTCCTCTAATAAAACCAATATTTACATGACGATTCATAACAGTAGCAACATTACAGTTATGAAGTAGCAATGAAAATAATTTTATGGTTGGGGGTCACCAACCATACAACATGAGGAACTGTATTAAAGGGTCGCGGCATTAGGAAGGTTAAGAACCACTGATCTAGGGCATTCCAGATCCGCCACGCTTTGCAGGAAGGAAAGGAAAGTGCTCATTCTTGGTCCCCAGGCCTGTTTGGCTTAGGGTGACCCAGGTGTTTGATTTGACCTTGAAGAGGAATGCCCTACCCTGGGCCTCACTGGCTTCCCGGGGGGTGGGGGGGGGAATTCTTCCTACCCTCTGACCTCTTCCCCTGAGCCTACCCCTTAGACAGGGCTCCCTTCAGTTCCCTGCTCCTCAGCTATGCATCGATTCCTGTCCTCCCCAGTTGCTATTTGGTGGTAGGGGTGAGAAAGAGAGAGGGATGAGAAAGGCAAGGCTCTGGGTCACAAGGAAGCAGAACTCCCAGCCCCCCTCAAACTGGGAGAGCATCCTTTCCCCCACTCATTTCCCCTTTCTGTAGAGTGGTCATAGCAATAAAGCAGGTGCCTGGGCTGGAGTCCAAGGGGCTGGTGTGGAATGTTTTATGCTCAGCTTCCTCTCCCAGCATCTCTCTGTCTCCTTTTTCCTTTGTATGAGCCATTCTTGTTCCACTGACTTACCTCCTCTGCACATGTTAAAACAGAAATGACAGGGACTTTAGACATCTGCCTCCACCCTGCCCCAGTCCCCTGTGATCGATCGGCCCACGTGAAGGTGGATTGAGGAGGGAAACCAGGCAGGATCTAGTTAGAACCAGAGCCCAGGCAGGGGAGGGGCTGTCGAAGGCAGTTTGTGTTGGGGGATAGCAGAGAGGCCAAAGGTAAGAAAAGGGAGGTGAGAACATAGGTGTCATGGGGCGAGGGTCCCCTGCTCTCCTTTGCCTCTCCTCACTGTCGTTCCTGTCTGGCTAAAGCCTTCAGCCTCATCACTTCTTTCTGCTCCGGTTTTCCAAATGGAGTACAGAAATGCAGAAGGATGAAAGGGATGGAATCAAGAGACCTTTGCTCTTGCCAGATCTCCAGGGCAGAGGGAGCTTGGGGTAGTGTGTTACTGGTGGGAAGGTTCAAGACTCTCAGGTTGGCTCAGAGAACCTCCCAGCTCAGAACCCCTCCTAGATTTTAAATCAATGCCAGGCGTACAAACCAGTACCACTCCTATGGAGGGGAAGTGAGCAATATCTAACAAAGCAACATAAGCATTTACCCAGCAGTCCAACTTCTAGGAATTTATCCAGAAAAATGCACATTCACAATTACAAAATGCATATGCACAAGGTGATTCTCTGAGCCATGTTTGTAATAGGTTAGGAATCATTGGAAACTACCCAAGGCCCATCTTTAATAGACTGGTTGAATGAACAACAGTACATCCATATAGTGGAGTACTATGAAGCCAAAAACAAGGAATAGGAAGGAGCCCTATGAACTTATATCATTTTTAGGATGAGTTATTAAATGAAAAAAAGCAAGATGCAAAAGAATGCATGTAGTATATCACTTTTGGGTTGAGAAAACGGCAGAATTTTTTTTGTGTGTGGACATACATGCACGCGCGCGCACACACACACACACAGGAAAGACAAACTAGAAATTAATTAAAATGGTTACCTATATGGGGTGGGTAGGAACAAAGTAAAGGAGATAGG